ACTCCTGTGGGGTCTGAAGTGTTCATGGCCCATCCTCCCCCAAATCCCAGGGCTTCAGCACATTCCCCACATGGCAATACAGCTCCAGGCTCAGCTGCACTCACTGCCACAGCTGTCTCAGCCACCAGTGGAGGTCAGAGTAGGAAGGCAGGAGAGGAGTTGTAGACTTCATCTGGGGCTTTGTAACTCTGCCAGGAAATAAACTTGGGGAAACCCAGGAAGGGGACCACATCCCTGCCTGTGGGGGGGCTGCAGAGCTCCCTGGGAATGAGTTACTCCAACCTGTCTTTATAATGGGCCACCTGAGGGCTTTTTGCTCCTTACCTGGAGTGGTTTCAGTTGGTGGCTCATCTGTGGCATCACCTGGTCCAGGGTCACCTCCTGATGAAGGGAAAAGAAGAGAAACTGCAGCACCGCTCAGTGTTGTGTGTGGGAAAAGTCTTGTGGAACTGTGTGTATGCAGGACAATTTCTGAGCCGGTAAGTGAGGGACCTGCATGGGGCTGAGCAGCCACAGCCATGGGCAGCCTTGCCCTGCCTTAGGCTCTCCCTGGCTGTGACTCCTGTGGGGTCTGAAGTGTTCATGGCCCATCCTCCCCCAAATCCCAGGGCTTCAGCACATTCCCCACATGGCAATACAGCTCCAGGCTCAGCTGCACTCACTGCCCACAGCTGTCTCAGCCACCAGTGAGTGCATATCTCCTTGCAGGAAGGCTCCCTCCACCCTCCCAGGGCAGAACCACACAGCCAACATCAGCTTCCAGAGCATGCAGAGGGCACCCGTCAGCTCATGAATGTGCCACCCTTGATGGCCTGCTGGGTGACACTGTTTTGGGAAAATTGTGAAGCAGCAACTGTTCCAGCATGGCAAGTTGGGTCTTGGGGTCTGTTCAAGGAGGCAAAGGCACCGGCCAGAAGGGGACAGTGTTGCTGAAATCATCATCAACACATTTCCCTCACAGTAAACATGAGGAGGGTCAGAGTAGGAAGGCAGGAGAGGAGTTGTAGACTTCATCTGGGGCTTTGTAACTCTGCCAGGAAATAAACTTGGGGAAACCCAAGAAGAGGAACACATCCCCGCCTGTGGGGGCTGCAGAGCTCCCTGGGAATGAGTTACTCCAACCTGTCTTTATAATGGGCCACCTGAGGGCTTTTTGCTCCTTACCTGGAGTGGTTTCAGTTGGTGGCTCATCTGTGGCATCACCTGGTCCAGGGTCACCTCCTGATGAAGGGAAAAGAAGAGAAACTGCAGCACCGCTCAGTGTTGTGTGTGGGAAAAGTCTTGTGGAACTGTGTGTATGCAGGACAATTTCTGAGCCGGTAAGTGAGGGACCTGCATGGGGCTGAGCAGCCACAGCCATGGGCAGCCTTGCCCTGCCTTAGGCTCTCCCTGGCTGTCACTCCTGTGGGGTCTGAAGTGTTCATGGCCCATCCTCCCCCAAATCCCAGGGCTTCAGCACATTCCCCACATGGCAATACAGCTCCAGGCTCAGCTGCACTCACTGCCCACAGCTGTCTCAGCCACCAGTGAGTGCATATCTCCTTGCAGGAAGGCTCCCTCCACCCTCCCAGGGCAGAACCACACAGCCAACATCAGCTTCCAGAGCATGCAGAGGGCACCCGTCAGCTCATGAATGTGCCACCCTTGATGGCCTCCTGAGTGACTCTGTTTTGGGAAAATTGTGAAGCAGCAACTGTTCCTGCATGACAAGGATGTGAGAACCAGATGTGGGTCTTGGGATCTGTTCAAGGAGGCAAAGGCACCAGGCAGAAGGGGACAGTGTTGCTGAAATCATCATCAACACATTTCCCTCACAGTAAACATGAGGAGGGTCAGAGTAGGAAGGCAGGAGAGGAGTTGTAGACTTCATCTGGCACTCTGCAACTCAATAAACTTGGGGAAACCCAAGAAGAGGAACACATCCCCGCCTGTGGGGGCTGCAGAGCTCCCTGGGAATGAGTTACTCCAACCTGTCTTTATAATGGGCCACCTGAGGGCTTATGCTCCTTACCTGAAATTGGTGTTGGCTCAGGTGTGGCAGTAGTTGATTCAGGGACATTTCCTGATGAAAGGAAGAGAAATGGCAGCACTGCTTAGCATTATGTGGAGGAAAAACCTTGTGGAACTCTGTGTATGCAGGACAACCTCTGAGAAGGTAAGTGGGGGACCTGCATGGGGCTGAGCAGCCACAGCCATGGGCAGCCTTGCCCTGCCTTAGGCTCTCCCTGGCTGTGACTCCTGTGGGGTCTGAAGTGTTCATGGCCCATCCTCCCCCAAATCCCAGGGCTTCAGCACATTCCCCACATGGCAATACAGCTCCAGGCTCAGCTGCACTCACTGCCCACAGCTGTCTCAGCCACCAGTGAGTGCATATCTCCTTGCAGGAAGGCTCCCTCCACCCTCCCAGGGCAGAACCACACAGCCAACATCAGCTTCCAGAGCATGCAGAGGGCACCCGTCAGCTCATGAATGTGCCACCCATGATGGCCTGCTGGGTGACACTGTTTTCGGAAAACTGTGAAAGCAGCAACTGTTCCTGCATGGCAAGGATGTGAGAACCAGATGAGTGTCTTGGGATCTGTTCATGGACCTGAGGAGCCACAGCCGTGGGCAGCCTTGGTCTGCCTTAGGCTCTCCCCAGGCCTAGTGCCTCATTAGTGTCGTGCTTTCCCTCATTATCCTTTTCCCACACTCTGGCATTTGGCTGCTTCCCACCAATAGCAGTTTTGTACCCTTCCTGCCTTTCTCCTCTAAGCAATTATGGCATGCTGATTTGCTGGCACAGACATGTGTCCCTGCAGGAAAGCTCCCACCACTCTCCCAAGGCGGCACCGCACACCAGTGCTGGCTGCTAGAGCAGTGTCAAGGGCATCCCATCTGCTAGCGCATTTGCTCCCTGAGAGCTAGCGGAGCTCTGGTCTTACCTAATGCTGCCTTCACTTGCTGTGCCAATTTACTTTTCTCATCCCTTAAACAAGCAGCAATTTTAGCATCACACATATTCAGTAGTCGCAGTTTTTAATTATATTTACATGATACTGCACTCCACAGTTAACAAGTTCACAATGACTCTTCAGATTCTGCTCTAGAACTCAGCTTAATCCACAAAAAATACATTAACCTCAAGATCTACATATATGGCTAATTTGTAACTGTGGAAAATGCTCTCAGGACAGGCATTATTAAAAACTCTATATAGGCTCCTTCGGAGCAGCCGTGGAAGAATGACTGCCTTTGCTAATACCTTCTCCTATGCTGTAACAAATTCAAGGAGACACTGTAAGCAGAGTATATATTCTGCTAAATTATCATCAGTAGTATCAAGACCCTCTTTCCAGGACATCACTTCCATGGAGTTATGACAGCATACATTATCTTTTGTCATTCTTTTCCTTCCTTGTTGTAATTCTCTGAATGAAGAGAAACCTGGCTGATACCAGACAATGGATGAAGGAAAATTTTTCTCACATTTTAGTTTCAGCATTACCTGTTACTGTGTTTACTCTTCTGAAGTATTTTATCCATTTAATTTTAGGATGTTTATTTTGTATTTAAACTCTGTAATTCTTAACTCAATATATGGAATGTTTTGGGGTTTTTTGTCTAGAAGTAAGAGCAAATTATAAAACAGCTTTGCTGATAAATGTGTGATACTGATAAATGGCCATTTTGGATCATATGATCTAACTTTAATCTGAATTAGTTAATATATGAGTTAGGAAGAAACGTATTTACTCTGAGTTAATGCCGCTGCAATCATAATTTAATCTAAGTCATTAACAGCATGCAGATGGAAGACTAATGTATTTCTGGCTAGAATCTTTGGCACTAACACACTCTTGTAGCTGATATACAAAGAAAAAATATTGCAAATCTCAACAGACATTTGAAAAATAGACCTCACTTTTCAAGAGCTTTGTAGGGCTTTGAAAATCCAAAGTGAGGCAAAATTTACAAACTTTCTTCTTCTGATCAATAATGCTGACATAGAAAACACACACCAAAAAGACAACAGCTGAAGTAATCCATCAGTCTCCTCTAGATGAAAGGGAAACATGAGCAATTGTGCCAGTTCTCTGCCAATCTTCTGGCTCAACTGGTCACAGAGTCCTATAGCCAGCATTAAATGTTCACCAGTCAATGTAAAGAAATGTACATTTTGTCTATAACCATGATAATATGAATCTATGCTGGCCACCGGCCATGGTTTTGGAGCATTATTTAGTTTGTCTTCTCAAAATGGATGTTGGGGCAGTAACCTCTTACAGCGCTAGCCCTTAGTGTACAACAACTGTTAGCCTTGTAGAGGCTCTGGCTAACAATTGTCCAGGACTACTACCCTTTGGATCCAGGAAGAATCACATCCATGGCAACAGCAGTGCACATGAGCTGCAATTGAACCTTGCTGATGGGCTTGTCAAAGGTAACCTGAGCAAAGGTGGTTATTCTCTGCTCTATCTGCTTAGACCCGACCTTCTGTGTAAGGAAACAGGATGTGTTAATAGACTTAGGCGTTTACTGGAATAACAGAGACATCTGGCTGCTGTGCAGGGCAGGGCCTTTGCCAGTATTATTCAAATGCACAAATCCTGCAAAGCTGTTACAATGTTTGCTTAGAATGAAAAAGGTTTCTGGGCAGGCCCATCCTGACGCAAAGTCTGTTCAAGTAAGTGAAAGTAATCTCTTGGGTCAAGATTTTTCACATCTTGCTGATACCCACAAGCCTCCAAACAGAAAACCAAACAACTGACAATCTCGAAGACTTCTATGCTTATAATTTACAGCTAAACATTGGTCTGTAGCATGTTGTAGATGTTGCTGGAAATACATATGTTCACTCACGCTAATCAACAGAGACCCACAACCATCTGTCACCAGCTGCAATCTTAACAGCATCAATGAAGATCTTAATTTGGCTCATATCTCTGCAACTTTCTCTCCATAACTTTATCTCGGTATTAGCTGGGAGTTCCTCTCCTCACAGCTTCAAGTTGCCACAAAACTCTTCATATATTTGCCTTAACTCTACTTCTGCTAATGCCTTCTCTTACTGCTATCTGTCACTGAATATCAGGGACAGGCAAGTTTGGGCAGAAGCTCTAGGCCACAACTAACAAGTTTGTCACAACGTCTGAAAAAGTAGTAAGTGACTTAAGGAATGACACCTGCCCTTCAGTTTGAACAGACCACGCTGCAACCCTCTGCCACTCAAGTTGGTAATGAAGTTCCCGTTAATTTCAACAGGAGGGTTGCAAGCCAGCTCAGGAGGCGCTGCTTTCCAGATTGACTGTTTAAGGACCCTCCGGCTGGAAGGCCAGCGGCAACACTCCTTTCCCTGGGTACTGGAGTGGAACAGTCACACCTTTTGTTTTGACTGTAACAGAGCTTGAATTACCTGGGTCCAGTGTGCAGGTCCTGAAAACTGCTCTTGGAATAGGCTAAATTAGGTTAATCACAAGCACCAGTGATTTTGCATTGTTCTGTGAACAAGGAAAACTGTTGGCTTTCAGTGACATTTTTTGTTGTTAATTAATCAAAATCTAGACATGCCGAATTGTGTATTGCCACTGACCTCCAGGCTCTCAGCAGCTGCTGAAAGTACTAAGCAATCCATTCACTGCCACAGAATAGCGGCCCTGATAAATCCCAAAACAGAAGATAGTGTTTCTTACCTTTGGAAAGGCTCAGCGCCAGGCTGAGCAACACTGCGAGCAATACCTGGCGTCTCATTGCCGCTTCTGTGGCTGCTGCCACTTGCTGCTAAACCTAAGAGAAAGTACTTTTCTCTTCTGTCATCAGCTCATTTAAAGTCCCAGCCACAGGTAAAGAGTTCAGCCCCGAGCTGACGTCATGGTGGCAAACAGCAAATGATAGATCCAAGCTGTGTTTTTCTTCTTCCTCAGGCTGGGAGGAGATTTCTGGACCTCCAGTGTTCCTCCTTTAAGTCATAAATGCTTGAGACCTGTTGACACAAGGAAGTTACTTCTAAATAAGCTGATGGGGGAACTGACAGCACAGCAGCTATCCCCTGCCAGCTCTCCATACTGACACCTTCAGTGCACACTAAATGGAAGGTGCTGTATAATCTGCTCTTAAAGTGGAAGAAGCTATCCCATCCCAAGGCGTATTAATTATGTATTAGGAGCAGAGTACCTGGGATCCACGTGATCACTTCCTCTACAATAAAGTACTGGTACAGACAAGCTCTGTGCTTCAGACCCGAGTTGTTCTTTCCTTACAAGCAAAATTTTATGCCGAAGCACTTCTTACTGCTCAACGGGGTAAAAAGCAGCAGAAAACACTTGCATCTTTGACATCAAAGAAATAGGACTGACCTTGGCCTTTCTGGCAGTGATTATGGCTGTTCTGTTTGCTGCCATCTTATGTGTGTTACGGACTCAACAAACATAATAAAAATAAATGAATGATGAAATAAACATAAGTTATCCTGTCATTATCAGACATGGACAAGAAGGATGAGCAACCCATTGGTGTATGTCCTGCAAAGCCACCTTTAAAGGCTGTGGAGCTGGTGTCCTCTGGCAAACTCCACTACCACAAACACTGGCAGGTTACAAATACGTTTCCGAATGAGAAGTAACAGCTCTGTGTGTTAAACGCCTCTCCCCTTCCTTCACCTGCTTTTGTTTGGTCTGCTGCTTTAAGAGTAAGATATGTAGTCTTGTGTAGTAATCTCATATTCAGAGAGTGGCTGTCCTTGTATGTAGGAGGGTAGGAGAAACCAGAAGTATTACTCAAGTCATTCCTGAGATTAGGGTTGTCCTAAACTGGAGCAGGTCCCAAGGAGGGCATCAAAAATGATCAGAGGGCTAGAGCACCTCTCCTGTGAGGACAGGCTGAGACACTTTGGGTTACTCAGCCTGGAGGAGCGAACAGTCCGGGGATACCTTGTTGCAGCGTTTCAGTACTTCAAGAGGGCTTGCAAGAAAGATGGGGACAAACTTTTCAGCAGAGCCTGTTGTGATAAGACAAGGGGTAATGGTTTCAAGCTAAAAGACAGTAGATTTGGACTACATATAAGGAAGAAATTTTTGACAGTGAGGGTCGTGAAACAATAGCACAGGTTGCCCTGAGAGGTGGTAGATGCCCCATCCCTGGGAATATTCAAGGTCAGGTTGGACGGGGCTCTGAGCAACCTGCTCTAGTTGAAGCTGTCCCTGCGCGTTGTAGGGGAGGTTGGACTAGATGGCCTTTAAAGGTCTCTTCCAACCCAAACTATGCTATGATTCTAAACTTTTAACTTGCACCGAACCAGGAAGCATCAGTGGCTTATGGACAGCAAAAATGGCTGGGTGCCTCCCTGCTGGCACAGGGGACGAGCAGCTTTATCCCTCTGCGCCCTGCCACACGGACCTGCTCAGGGTGCTGAGGGATGTTTTGTCTACACCTTCATTTGCCCTTCCAGCCCCAAAGCCTCTTCAGTGCTGCCTGCTCCCTGCACCTACCCCCAGTCACCACAGTCACCCCATGGCAGCCTGAGACCGGCCTGCAGCTCCTGAGGGAGCCCCATGGTGGACACTCTGCATGGTCACCATGGTGGCTATGCAGGGTGGGGGAAATCCCAGTCTCTGAGGGGAGGCCAGTATCGGGGTCTCAATGTTGTCCCCCCATCCACCAGGGGGGTTCAGGGCCAGGCCCAGGGCCTGGTCATGGGGGCTGCCCCCAGCCTTCTCCAGGGTGGTGGGCCTGTCCGGCCGTGCTGGATCCAGCTCCTGCCCTGCTGCTGCTCGCTCCCATGCCAGTCACCTATCCCAGCCCATTCGGTTCCTCTCGGCACCTCCTTAAAGATCTCCTTTGCCAGGGAGCTGACAGAAAAAGGGATGGAAATACCTGGGGAGTGTTGACACCAGAGTGCTGTGCCTCCCTGCTCGGGCAGTGTCCGACCTCTACCCCAGGCCACCACCACCCTCCAAGCTTCGCCTCAGGGGGCACCTGAAAACTAACCCCGAAATCTCATTAGAGTAAATCGTTACGTTCCTGAGGACTCAGTGCTGTGAGTCCCCTGGGAGACCCAACAACCCCAGACACTGGCCATCTGGGCAGCATAGTGGTTTAACCCCAGCCAGCAACTAGCTGGCTTAACCCCACCCAGCTCTTCACTCATTCCCCCCACCCAGTAGGGTAGGGAGAAGAGGGAGGAAAAACCTCATGGATTGAGTTAAAGACAGTTCAATAGAACAGTAACGGAAGAGGAAATAATAATAATAACAACAACAACAATAATAATAACAACAACAATAATAATAATAATGGTAAAAGAATATACAAAAATAAAGTGATGCAATACACTTTCTCTCATCACCTGATGATCGACTGCCTAGCCTGTCCCGAGCAGCAATCTGCCCCCTAGCCATCCCCCTTTTATATACAGAGCATGACACCTATAGTGTGGAATATTTCTTTGGCCAGTTTGTCCTGTCTATGCTCCCTCTCAGCTTCTATGGGAAACTGAAAAAGTCCTTGACTTAATATAAACATTACTTAGCAACAACTAAAACAATAAGTGTTATCAACATTATTCTCATACTAAATCAAAAACACAGCTGTTACTAGGAGGAAAATCAACTCTATCCCAACTGAAGCCAAGACAAGGAGCCACAACACATGCTTCAGCTGGAAATCAGTGTGCAGAGGGGGACAAACCTGGCTGCGGAGGGTGTTTGGCAGATGTGTGTGCCACCAGCCCTCTGGCAATGTCCATCCCCCATATCTAGACTTTTCAGTCATCACAATACATCCCAATTTTCCAATTCTGCCTCAAGGTGCAACTAGACTAATCCAGGTCTTAAAATCTTCCTGTTTGCTGTGAAGCAAGCATAAAGGACCAAGAGAACTTCCCAGAACACTATTGAAAATGAGGGGCAGGTCTTCAGCAGGTGTAAATGGTGTTGATTTGCTGGCTACACTGGTATCTACTGGTTGAGTGTGTAGTCCTGAACATTAAAATTGTTCTCTATGGTGAATGCACATCAGGGCCTGGCATATTACCTATATTTTTAGAGTTCAATTCCATTCTTACCTGGCTGTTCCTGTTTATCACAATCACAGTTTGGGAAGTGTGAATCATTTGCAATGCATTAGTTCTACCAGGAAATAATGCGTTGAATAGACATACATCTTCACATACCAGATCTTTTTGTCTCTGCTTGCCCTTCCCTGTCCATTTTGTGACACAACAGTGGTCACAACAGGATCCCCCCGCAGAAAGGAGGGTGACAGGCTGCATATGCCCTATTGCTTGCCAATGCATGGGGGAATTATAATAGAGATTTGTCAGTTTAGGAGAACAGATACAGAGAATTACCAAAACAGGAGATCTGATGTCAGTGAAACATCAGCAGCTCAAATGAATTTATTAAGCACACATTTAAACAATAGATAGTTGACTGTTAGTCCAGACAGACTCAGACAGCCACAGCAGTTGTGATGTCCTTTAAGGAATTACAGAGAAAAGTCTTTGCAGAAACTACTAAATAACTTTCCAGAAGTAAAACTGTTGTGCATCAAAGCTCAGATACAACAATCAAAAACACTGATGTATGATTATTATGGAATAAAAAGTGTGCTGCATTTAGAAACAAACACAGTAGTTGTTTTTTTGTCTTGATCTTTGTTCGTGGCAGGAAAAATAAGTATGAAAGGTAGAAGGCCTTGTTTATCTATTAGGAGGTGCAGCCTAATTTAACTGTAAGTTGCATGTAATCAAGGGGCAGTCATGCTGCGAGAAGGCATATGTTAGAGTAGGAACAAGTGTCTTCTATAGCTCTTCATGTGCGTCAGCTGGATACTTTCTTGTGTATTTTTTCAATCCTCTTCTTTATTAGATTCCTATACATTTTGCTATCTCCGATAAATTTGGTTCATCAATTGTATATTACATATACAAGTAGAAATACATGTTGTAATTAGTTGAAAGTTCAAAAAAACCTCCAGAAAGTCTATATCAAAGTGCTATATACATACAGAACCACCCATAATCAGGGGAAGCACGTGAACTTTGATTTCTTTTCAGGTGGTTCCCAAGATGGTTGAGGGCACACACTGTGGATGAATGCATGATGATGGTCTCAGAGGCACTGGTATGCAAACCTGAAGTGGGCAGGACTGCTAAACCACGTGTTTGTCCATAACTGCAAAGGTCTTTTACCTAGTCTCATGGCAATGTTGTAACCAGGACTTTTGCACTGCCAATTTCCTTAAAAGGTACCAATGTCACACAGAAAATACAACAATTTGCAATAGTATTGGTAACAAAACCGAGTCGCTATAACAGCCTGTCTCTTGGAAACTGACAGAACCTCAGGATTTAATTGAGTTACTCTCTTCTTTATTTTCCCCCTGGGGTCTTACTAGACAAGGAACAGACATATACCACAATTCTGTACTATATCACCGTAGAAAGTAGACTGAAGTTTCGGGATGTAACAAGTATGTTCTAGACTCACCATTCCTCTGCAAGTAGCACTCACTTCATCTAAGGCAGCTGTCTAGTGTGGGGTCTTGCGACACTACTGTCAAATGTGAGGGATATCTTACCACGGGGTGAGCTACCCTCTGTGGACACTTGTCTTTTTTCATGGCTACTGGAGGTGCCAGATGGTGGTTCAAACAGGATACCCAACTTTTGGTAAAACAGATGAATTCCACCTTAGTGCCACAAGATTGCTATTGCAGTAGAGTGTTGTACTCCTCTGGAGCAATATAGGAAAAGATTGTCCCAGGTGAACATACCTGCCATTACTCCAGATGCTCTTCCACATCACACCTCTTCCCAGCAGCCTGGGCTGGACATTGTGTTCATCTGGTACCCTTCTCCTTCCTCTGAGACACATTCAGCTGTATATTCTTCACAGTCCCCAGTGACACTTAGTGAGGCAGGCCTGATTCCACTGTGGTCAGGTCCAGTCCCTTGCCCTTGCAAACAGCCCTGCCGCATCAACCTCTCCTGAGGTTTTCCTCCCCTCCAACATGTAGTCACACACGCAAACACACAACTTCACCATTTCTCTTCCAACTCCAGCGGGATGATAAATTAAATTAAGGAAAAAATTAAAATTAAACGAGTTGCTTAATGCTACTGAAATAAACATATCAGAACAGAACTTGTATTTTAGCTGAGCAGAAGTTCATTTAGCACAACTAAGAGAACGTACCCATTTCCTCCTTGCTTTTCACTTCAGTTATTCAATCACCAAGCACCACCAGAAGAACAAAAGAAGTGTAACATTTCTTATTGTATAGATTAGATTTCTAATAATAATTGAAACAATCTAAAATTGCATATGCATCTCTCTACAGTGAAAGCTAAAGACAATAAAAAAGCTGAGACATAGTAATATTCGTTGTTTTATTGTATCCTTTTATAATACTGACTAGAACGCCAGATTTAATAATATTGGATGCAAGTATAAAAATAATCCAATCCTTAAAAATTACATTTTGCTACTACAGTACTGTATAATTAGTGGAGGCTGAAAATATGATACAACTTTAAATAATACTGGTTTGGAAAATGTCCTCAGAACCCCAGCGACTTGGAAGCAAACATTCAGAGATACAAGGAAGGAAAGAGGGCAATGTCAAGAACATAAAGCAGGTCTACATTCAGGTTTATAAAGAAGCACAAACAAATGCTGAAAATTTACCTTTTGAAACAGCTTACAAAAGGCGAGCTTTATTACTGCAATTCTGAAAGCTGCTCAAATAAACCTTTATGATGTTACACGCCAAGTTTGACTTTCTGTTAGGAGAAAGTCTTGTAGAACTTAACAGGACTTAAAACAAATGACTGAGTTTAAGAGAATTTCCTTTAAAAAAGGAAACTATTAAATATTGCTTAGGGTTTTTTTCTTTAAAGTAAGCCTATCCTAGCAGATTTCATTGGAGACCTTTCATGTCAGGTGAATTCTATGGCATTGTTCAAGAGAAGTGATCAGTTTTTACTGTGTTCCACAGGACTCTTCCATGTAGGATTTTGCAGATCTGGGGGATGCCTGCTGTAGTCATTCACCCAAGCAAGACTCCCATCCCTTCTAACGTTTTACCAGAATAACAACCAGAGAACTTGTCATTTACATACTACTTTTGAGGATCATCAGGCATCCTCTTTAGGTTTTCCCTTAACAAGGATATTACGCACATGCAACACAAACTAGACACAGAAGAGGTGTCATCCCACATATGACCTTACAGTACAGAAGCCACACTTGCTTTAGACATTTACTTCTCCAAAACGTGTAAGCATATTCCTTTCTTTTTGCTTTTTTTTTTTTTGGTTGTTATTTCTTGCCCCTTCATGGATTTCTGTTCTGCTTTTTAATTTCAGCAGTTCAAGGGAACAGAGAATTAAATACACATTGCAAAGCTCCTGAAAACTTAAAAGCACACAGCGCATACCCCCTTTGAAACTGGGAGATCTTGCTTCATTTCTGAAAGAACAAGTAAGAGTGAACTGAAGAGTTCTTATCTGTGACTGCAGGAATCACCTCTATGTCCCTAGAAGATCTTACATGATAGGAAACAAGTTGGCTGATCAGTAAAACAACTACACTAAATTCACATTCATTCTCTTCTCAGGAAGGTGTTTCAGATCTTGAGCCTGTTTTGCTCAATCTCACATAATACAGGTTCTGCTGCAGTAATAAGTATACTTCAAAAAAATAAATACAGCATGGAAAGGCAGCAACAGTATCACAGAGATAGGCAGAACACAGAGCCACAGGAAAGCGTGTACTACACACTGATGACCCTGGTGGTGGAATACTTCAGGACTAAAAAAAACTTCATTATGGTCCATGGGAGAGTTAGCCCGGCCACTATAATGGATGCTGGATTAGGTCCTTTGTGTGTAAAGAGGAAAAAACATTAGTCGGCATAGGAAGAGCATTTAAGTAAAAAGCATCCGTTCTTGTTAATTTAAGGAAGAAAACTAAAGATTAAATATCACTATGAGGGAATGAGATGGCCAGCTGGTTTTGGAACGGATATGGCCATTGACCAGCGTTAGAGACAAGCCCTGGGGAAGCACTCGGCGCGTCTGCAGCAATGTCCAAACCCGCTCTGCTGCTCACTCAGGTCCCGGCAAACAACGTTTAGAAGTATTGGCATAAACAATTTCACAATATGACAAACACCTCTCCCTAACTGCAATTGCATGCTGTTTTTAAAGCCTTTTACTACCGCTCAGCGTGAAGGCAAATACCTGTCAGAAGGCTGGTCACAAGGGGTGACTCAGGACATGACCATGACAGTGGGACTTACGAGAAACGCCGCAACACCAATGACATTCATTGCCGCTGTACTACCTAATGCTTTAGATGTGAAGGGCAAAGGGCATCAAAATGTCCCTGTCCTGTTTCTTCCTCATATAGCCCAATTCAGTGCTGTGACATTTCAACAGCATGCAAAAAGCCCCAGATTTTTCCAGTGCAGCTGGGAGGGCTGGCCAGGGCGAGCAGTGGTGCACGGCAGGGACAGAGGGAAGCTGCACGTTCGAGCCTCCCTTTTGAATGATCCCTCAAATCTGCGTTTTGCTGCTCCGTTCACCGGGGCTGCCTCTCCTAGGCTGACTGCCGGGGGTATTTCTGTGGGTTTTTGTCAGCACAATTGGCAGAGCACCACAGCAGCAAACGCTTGTCTCCCACATCTTTTCCTGTCAAGCAACACAATTAGCATTTTTTCCAAAGTTAATCAAAAATACACCCACACAACTGCCCATGGGCCCCTGCTGACTGCTCCCCTAGCTTTCCACAGCAGCCAGTAGCAAGAGCAGACTTCCGTGCAGTGTTGGCGTAGTTTTTCTTCCTTTCCCCACGTCTGGCTGAACCACTTGCATCCTCCTTACAAGAAACATGCCACTTCTATCTTATACTCTTGGATAGTGGAGAGCAATTCCCCTTGGCAAAAACATCCAGTGTGCTCAAAATTTGCAGTTTGCAGGAGCTAAAAGTAATCTAAATAGTCTGAGAAATAAGCTGCAGTTACTCAGACATCCTACAGGGAGTTAGATACTGAACAGAGAAGCATCCACATTTGGAATTGGGCTTGAGGGGTGTGTGAAGACCCTTCTCACATCTGACAGGAGTGACAAACCCCAGTCCACTGCTAGAGGGTGCTTAGTTTGTGGCAGAGATGGAAGCAGCCAGAGAGGATCCCGGTGGCAGCTTTAACAGAGGCAAGCTGCGCAGAGACAGGTCACATCCCTGCTGCGGCCGGGAGAGCCCATTGCTGCTGGGATTGCGGCAAAACACGCTGCATTGCAACCATCCCTTCTGCCCTAGTGGACCTGGCAACCCATGGGGCTTGGGTGAAGATGGCAGCACAGGGAGTGGCTGAGCTGGTGGAGACCTGGGGACTGACTCATCCCGGGCTGCACCAGCCAGCTCCGCAAAGACTTCCTGGAGTACCGCGTGGGAAAACACCTGCGCTCACCCAGTGCTGACATCTGCCTAAATCCTCTCCTGCCCGCTGAGCGGGGCCTCCTAGGACACCCAGAGAAGGTGCTGCAGGTCAGGAGAGACTCTTTTCCTCCTCCTGTGGACTATGCAGTGGCCCCGTGACTCCTTTCTTACCAAAGCTAAAAGGAAGATCAGGCTGCAGTGGATACGTTCTCAGAGGAAATTACCCAGTGTTTACCTGCTCTGGCAGAGGGAAAATTTCAGTTCAATAAAGTTCTCTCTTTTGGAAAAGGCCGAGTTTCGCAGTCCTCAGAAAATCCTGCTGGGTCTGGTGAAACCCTTTCACTCCAGATACAGCATTAAGAAGAATTTGAAGATCATTAAGAAATGAAAATTAATTATTTGCAAACTTGAGTGTGATTTCAAATAGGAACAGTCTTAACTCATTTCCACTCAAATTTTGTTCATATAATCCATGTTACTCTTTGTATAGAAGGATTGATTTGCAATTGTGAGTTGATATTTCCTACTTTGTCCTTTGTCCTCACCACGCACAGGAACACTTCCCAGTCTTTGAACTAACCTAGCAATTAAATGTATTTGCTGCTACCACCTGCAAGGTTGGTTATCGATCAGACAGCCATGAAGTCGCGTGCATCATCACCATAAGACCATGCAAATGCAAAGCACACTGCCCTAGGCATCCATAAAGTTCTGGTTTTCTGCAAGCCCGCACTGCTGTTTCTACTTAGCAGATAAGGGGTGAGGCATAAAAAGACACTGCGGTTGTGTTCTATGGCTGGTGCACCAAACTAGTGTTCTCAAGCACATTTGTGGTGCCTTTCCTGCCTCGCAGCTTTGAGAAAACAGAAGGAAATGTGAACAGGGACCAGAACCCTTTCTTCCCACGCAGCTGATGATTGCCTAGTGCGAGCTGCCCTTCCTCTGGGCAGCTGTTGCTCACTTTTGATAGGGAATACAACAACCTTCAAAGTGATGGGAAAGGATCTGGGGACTCACAGCATCTATAGGACACCAAGTACTGCTACCTGCTCCCTGACACATGGCTCCTCATCACCCCAGGTTTGCCTCCGGTGAGCAACTACACAACACATCAGCATCTGAACTGCCATTCTCACTTGGGGTTAGGCACTTTGGGGGACACATCCCACAGTCCTTTGCGCTTCAGTGAGCTGAGCTACCTTATGAACTTACTTGTAGGCACTGTGTCTTTTCGAGCACTGCGGGCGAGAAGGGAATATCAGTGGGTACATGCCCTTCAGTGAAACTAGCTTAGGTAGGCACTACGGAGATGGTGGGTTAATGGCTAAAGAATTGTGCTATTTGTTATCCTCATACAAGCAGCCACCTTGAATTAAAAGCACAGCCACATTCAGGGGAAGGATCTGCATCTGGATCCTCTATCTGGACAGGGTTTGGATGACTCAGGTTAACACTGCAGTAAAGATAAGTGGTAAATATACTTCATTAACAAGATATCTTTCAACACCCATCTCAGGTCAGAATACAGCCCATGAGTTTTCAACCTGATCTTTGGTGAGAAATGTAATAACTTACATTCTTCAGTTTTTGTCAAGGTGATTAACATGAATTAACACACCTAGGTGAGGAAATCTGCCTGGTCTGAATCACTCGAAACTAGGATGGAAGAAAGCAAAACATTTCAACATAAGTGATTTTTGTTCCGCTAGAATTGAAAGCATCATGTTTTTCTCTGCCTTAAATGCAACTAACTGCAGTGAGCCTTAGTTTCTAACGTATTGAAAGCCTCCACAGCTCTTACTGAGGCCTGTGGAGGCCTGAAGATTGTCTCACCTGCAGTGCCCAGAATTCACATTCCACCTGCCCAACCAGGGCTATAGCCTTATTGTGTCTTCCCAGATTCCTTGTAAGGAGCATGCTGAATTCCCAGCTCATGTTTTTCATCCCTATGAGCAACTATTTAACATTATATTGCTGTTTCTACAGACATTTAAATCTCTGCAGGGAAACAGACCCCCATAAGATTCTATATGGAAGCACTATGATGATGTGTAGTGGCATCACTTCTGAATAATGCTGGCTGACAGAACAACAACACGCTCAGACTACTCCCTATATAGAGGAAGTTTTCAAAGTGGTGCACAGGATCAACTGTGTCTTTTTTTCAGTTAGAATTGCAGTGGTATGACTAACTTTCCCATGCTCTTTGGAGACAAAAAGCCATGAATTCAGCCAACATTTCCAGGCACCAGGCTTCAGCAAGGACCCAGCCATCTGGAGAACTTCTACCAGTAAGAATGTGAGGGCCAGAGGATCAGCCAGCTTCCCTGTCATGTACGAAGCAGAAAGCGATGCAGCAATGGAAAAGGGAGTGGACAAACTTGCCCTACCAAAAGGAGCTGCACAGTGAATCTTTGCATGAAGGCTGGATAAGAAGACAAGCACAGTCAACAGTGAACAAGATCTGTAAACAAAACACTCCCTAGTGGTATTCAATGCAGAGTGGTGGGCATAGTTCATCTGCCTGTCCTGATGCATGCTTGCCATCTAGCGTAAAGAGTGAAGAAGCAGCACAGAACAAATTCAGAGTATACGCGTTAACTTCCACCTGGGTCTTTTAGTGATGTGCACCTCGAGCCATTCCCTCTTCCTCCTCCTTCTCTCTGCTGCTCAGCAAGTGTAACTGTTCCTCAGGGTAGCAATGCTCGGCATGGAGTTCAAAGTCCTTCCTGTTAAATGGGAAGAGTAAGATTGATGTGGGCTGAACGGCCCAGGAGACAGATTGTACCTGGGGATCAAAGGCCACAAAACTGTGTCAATCTTCCACTCCCTCTCCACTCCCTGCTAAAAATAGTCTCTTCTTCTGGTTTCATCACTAATGAAGGACGGATTGTATTGTCCGGGGTAGATGCATGAATGTCGAGATCCAGGCAAACCAGTGTAGGGAGGATAAAGTCCATTTCTTTCCAGTTCAGGATTTCTCAGTCCAGTTGGCTGTATTAGCAAAAAAAAAAAAAAAATTAAATAAAAAGGGTCTTATTCTCACACTCAAATCCTCCTTCAGGCACAGCCTCACTACCTTTCCCAGAAGTTATTTCAGTATCTCAAAGGAACAACGTGATTGCTAATGATCTTTATAACCTAGAATGATTTTTACTGTGGCAGTTATGCATTGCCCGAAGGGATTATTCTGATGCAATCTAGTTTCAACATCTTGCCAGTTAGCAGACTTGAAGTTTACCTGACTCCACCAAGTGTGGTCTAAGTGCTCAGTTTTTTTTTTAATCCAAGAGAATTGTGCTGATGAGCTCAGGCACTGACACTCTCATGAAAAGGATGCTGTCCCAGAGCCATCCTTAAAGGAAAAGCTTCTAGAAAATCAAAGTTAGACTCCTGCTTTGAGTATTACCTGGGAGCACTTCTCTCCACATTAACTGTAGGTGCCTACTCTCCCAAAACAGGCACTTGTATTATATGTCAAATACAAAGTGATCTGACCTTGCTTTCTCTTCCCTTCTCTTACTTAAGTAAATCTCCTGGGGACACTTGGTTGAGGAACTTTGATGTCTAAGACCAAGACTGTACAATCCTTTCACCCAGTAAATAACATCAAGCCGTCTGGTTTGATTTGTTACAGAGCAGATCCACGCAAAGCCCTCATTACCTACTCCTTGCTAAACAGCTCCCTTTTCTAGTCCCCAGCATAATAAAAGTCTTGAAGCATGTTTAGGAAATGCATTTTCATTTTCAAATCTCTCCTGCTTACTGGAAGCAGGAAGGAGGATTATTTCCCTTCATGCTGTGCAACCCAATAAACTTGCTTACGGGAAAACTTAAAATACAAGCCAGAAAAAAAGTACTGCTCTCTTCTCTGGAAAGTGGGAGTCCAGAATGTGTGATTTGGCTGAAATCCTGCAACCTTCACTCACATGAGTAACTTCTGCACACCTTAAATACATCCACTATGTTGCTGTAGATTAGTGACAGATGATACAACAGCATCACCACTCTGGATACCGACATTATCAGACGGTCCCAACCATGACAGCATATGTTATGTTTGTGTCTTTCTCTGCCCTACACAACCCATTACTTCTCCACCACTTCCTCCCTACCACTTGTTCCCCCAGAGCTGCAGGGATGCTCCTTATGCACCCTTCCTGCTGCAGGAGTAGAAGAAAAAAAGGGGTCCTCAGTGACCAGCATCTTCCCATCTTGAGGTGAAGTTCCCCAGGCAGAGGTCTCAACCTTCCAGCATCGTCAGTGAGTGCAGAAGGGAGAAAACTACCCACAGGAATTCCTAGCAGCCTGTCCAAAACCTTTAACTCTCCTTCTCTACTCTAGGATTGGGCTTTTTAGGCATCTGCCAAAATGTTCCTAGGCATTTCCTTAACACTCTTCCTAATGACATCTCTTTGTGATATTCACCACATATGTAATAGCTGGAGCCCATAGGATTACCAATACCTTGCTGTCTATGGAAACCATTTATTTGCTCTTTTATTTTGCAGGAAAGGGATCTGTCCTTCCAAAACCAAAGGAATGTGTCTTTGCTGTATTAGGAACAAAGGGTTAGATAGATACCGAATAATACACATCTGTCATCTGCAATAGGTTCTTGGTGCTTCCATTCTCTTGCATCTCGATGGTTTCTCTGCCCCACTCCTGTGCCCGGGGGTTCTTTGGATATTCAGCATACGGTGACATCTGGAAATCTCCACTCTTGAAAATGAGTTTACTTATATCATTTTTATTCTTCCTGTTTATAAAAGAATGAAGGAAAGTGAAAACATACAACTTATCCTGCTATCTTATATGCATTTCTGACGTAAATCTCAGGAGATTTACTTCATGTTATAAACCTTGACTGGGAACAAAAATAACCTCAGAAGGGCAATAGTCCAATCTTCTGCTCTGAGGCAAAATCAGATATGACGTCAGATCATACTACTCAAGGCATTATCTGGTGGGATTTGAAATCTCCAAGAATGGAGATTGCATAACTTCTCTGAGCAACCTGTTCCACTGCCTTACTGTCCTCTTGGTGAAAGAGGTTTGAACCTCTCCTGTTCCACCTTATGCCCATTGTATCTCAAAAATATGTGTGTTCACCTGAGTCAATGAAAAGTCACGGAAATCCAGGAAGAAATAAAAACACATGGCAGCCCTCATACTATTCAAGTCTCCAAGTGCTTAACTTCTAGGCACTATGTTAATTCCTAAGAAAGGTCTGCACGCTGCCAGTCTGAATGACACCAAATGCCCCTACATGAGTACCATGTCGGATCAGTGAACTTCGGCAACACTTCCAGTTCAAAGCAGAGTACCTTCCAGGAAGTCACATACGCTGCCAAAGGCCAAGACTCATGAGAAGATCAGCCCATCCCTCCAGAGATCTGCACTCTGGGGCCTGGAGGTGTACTGGCCATCATACCTCTTGCCCGGGGATTGCTGGCATCCCCCTGGCTCAAAACACATGGGAACAAGCGCACACCACTGTGCCAACCAAACCACTGCCGTGTCTATGTTACTGATAAACCCAGCTGCCAACTTTAATCAGAGCGCTTTGAAATCCTAGATTTGGGGCCTGGAAAGGAGAGGAAAGGTTGTTACTGCAAGGCAGCCCTTTTCATGACATATAAATCATGAAGCAGACCATCCTCGGCAGCACATCTTGCCTCTAGTCTGAAGCTACCTGCTGGTATGGGAACTATGTGCGTACATGCGTGTGTGCACCAGAGAGGGAGACGCACAAAGCGAGAGCATGTGCAGGACTTGTCCATAAAGAGAAATGAAAACAGCCTTAAATACACTCAAATACCAATTAAGCAAAGGGCAGCAACCCTTCTTGTTGCCTGAACTTTGGCTTTCTACTGAGCTTGCTTTTTAGACACTGCTCCCTGGTTGCCTCACACCTGTGAGTGGGAAGGACTCCTTTGCCTCTCTATCCTTAGAGGTCATGATTGCCAGGTACATCCTTAAGAGACACTGAATCGAATTTTTTAGCTTGGTTGCTTGAAAAAAAAAAAAAAAAAGATATGCCCCAAATGAAAGCACAATGTAATACTTCAGTATCCCTGATTAATCGACTTGCTTAGCTATCCTATGTTTTCATCTATGTTTTGGTCTTTCAGGGTTCACATGTGAAGCACTAAGTGTGGTGTAATCCACTGAGAGGATGCCACAGATGAACAGGGGCTGGTGGTGGTACCTACCGGCAGCAGGTGACAATCAGTGCTATGCCCATGATAAGCAGAAGTCCCCCTCCTGCAGCCGCGATCACCACAGTGATGAGCTGATATGCTACAGACAAGAAAGACAGAGATTCACTTAGAAACAGTGATGTAGTTGCAAATACTAATGTAAACGTATCCACAGTCCTCATGCAAAGGGACTAATGGTTTATTTCCCATCTTCCCTCCCTCTGTGCC